TTCCCTGCCACCTCCCCGGGCATATGGCTTTCTCTGGGCATACTTACGATTACTAATATGCACCTGTGCTTCCTAGAATTATCCTGAAGAATTTTGGACCCTATTTGCATCTGTTCCTTTGAGATAAACTGTGAAGGACAAGACTCTCCACCAGTAAAAAAGCTGCTCCTCGGCTGTGTCATGTCTCTGAGAGTTGAACAGTTCTGAATCTGTGCAGTAGAAGGCAGCAGTATGCATGTGCCTCTTTAATGCCACGTCAGTAGGAAAGTTGAAGTCAGGTGTTGGAAACTAAATCTAATGTGCAGTTATTAAGCCATAGCAAGTATTGACATATCTAAACACTCCAATCTGGGAAACTGGGTAAGAAAGGCAAGTAGGACTGATTCCTATTTTGTGGTAAGCAGAATGTGCAGATGTCAACCCACCCTATTAGTGCCATGAGTTCTGTAACAGCAGGGAAACACCAATTGCTACAGGGTAGAGCAAAATGGAACAGATGTTCTAGGGACCCTAAATGACTGGGCAAGGTGTATGGCACTTGTCATTTGAAAAGGATCATGGAAATGGCAACAACCTAGTAATATGATACATGAGTACCAGAGTTCTCAGGTGTACAAAGAGGCAGTACAGAGAGTTGGAAGCTGGGGCGCATGGAGTGCCCTCCAGGAGGTGCTCCTTTGTGATTGCTGCAGCCTTGCCTGATCTCTGAGAGTATCCATTGAAGGCAGCCTAGGCTTGACTTCCAGAGCAGCGGGGAGCCCAAACTCCTTCCACCTCTGAAACCCCAGCCTTTCAATCTCACCTTCCCTGGTTCTTGCTGGCCCTGACTCCAGAAGTGAGCATCCAGTTCCACTCCAGAAAAAGAGGAGTGAGATGACCCAGTGCAACCCACAGTTCCAGGAAGCATGGCAGAGTCTCTTACGTGAAGGGACCCTGGCTGGATGTCACTGAGCTAAAGAAACTAAGGAAATACTTTCCCTTATACCTCCAGACAGCTCCAGATGGTGCCAGGCTGCTTGTTTCCAACCTGCCCTCCCATTGTCACATATGTCCATCTTGGGTGTTGGACATCTCATCTCAGTTGAAATGTCAACAAAGTAATTCAAGGCTCTGCTGATGCTGTAGGTCCATCTCATCTTATCCTGTACATAGCCACCTCAGGCACTTAAGCCTTCAGTCTCAGTGGACATGCTAATGAGAGAAACCGAATCGTGCAATATTATCATGTAAACACAGTTAACGTAGAAATATCATTATAAAACGTGTAGTCCATCACATGGGGTAACAAGAGAAGGTGAGACATGAAGATCATATCTTTTCCTGCTGTGTTCCAGGATAGGAAAAAGAGACCCAGTGGGTATGATGAGTGCTGAAGGGTGAGCAGTGGAAATGGGCAGTGGAATTTGTTTAATTAAAACCCAGACTGCTTAAAAGTTTTATCAGTGTTACAAAAATACATTATTTGAGCTTTTTGACTAATTAAGTCAAGTGACTAATACTGACCTACTTAATAGTCAAATAGTCTTTGCTGTTGTTAGGTATCTGTAATTAAACCTTGGTCTATTTGTGAATGATGGACTGCCTCATGTGCTTCATCAGCTGGAAGGTGTATGGTGAAGGAGGCAGGGAACTGCAAGAAGAGAGGCTGATATCATGGGGAGGCAGCTGACAAATCTGAAGGGACTCTCTTTATCCTTGGCTTTATCATAGATGTTATATGATTGGCACATCATATGCCAAATTTTTTTTAATTATTTTTTTTTTGGTAGATAGCCCTTTAATTATGTGTTCCTTATTTTCTGGATACCTGATTGTTAAGGTATATTGCACCCAGCACTGGAGCTCAGTATTTCTGAACCCAGACTTCAGGCTTCTCAGGAGGGGCATGCAGTCACTAAAGCACCCAAGGTTAGTGAGCATCTTTGTAAATTCTGTTCTTAATTTTCTGTCCCTCAGTTCCTCATTTATAAAATAGGCATAATATCACATGGGGTAGAAGTGGCTAGGATCTGTTGTCTGAAAGATCTGATTTTTATCATTTGAGTTCGTGAGCACAGAAATAGTAATGGATGAAGTCAACAAGTTTCAAGACATCTGTATGATGTCATACTAGAATGTAGGAGGTTCATCTGATTTTGAAGGGTTGAGAACACCCAAAATGCACAGTGATGCATCAGTGTGGATAAGTCCACAGTGATGCATAAGTTAAAGTCACAGATAATATCATTATTTTTGCCCTTAATGCATTATTTTTTATGTTAATTAGTGTCAAGAAGGGAAATACCAAAGTGTTGAGCTAGTCATTTACACAAATGCAGTCTGCAGTGTTTTCTAAATTGTTTTATGATATGAACTTTGCCATGGGTTCATTGAAAAAATCTAAAATCTTGACAGTGTCCCAGCTTTTTCAGATTATTAGACCATGTCTGTATAGTAGTTAATGAGATCTAACTGGATTTGTCACTAAAAATAACTATGGACAAATAGTAAGTGTTTGATGTAGAGGGTGACCTTGGAGCAGTTTCACTCTCATGTAATGTCAGTCTCTTACTTAATTCACTAAAGCAGTTATCTGGTTGTAAAGCAGTTCAGGCAGTAATGTAGTATGTCATATATATTCTTTTAATTATTATGATCTTCCTTGTGGCAATTATAATTTACTTTATTGGAGATAACAGTAAATTGGTAGATAAAAGTCTCTGGACAGATAAAATTGTACTTTTCCTATCTTTAGATTGTGACTAGAGCAGCTAGTTCATGGTTAACTTTTTTGTTTCTTATGTTAAAAGTGAAGCTTTGCTGGGTTTAAGAAACAATTTAATGAAATTTTTCAAAGGAGATGTGCCTGAGAGCATGGTATAAAATGTTTCAAAGTATTTTATAATACATTACAGAATTCCTTTTGTTTGCCTCGCTGGTCGCTCAGTATACTATACATAGCCTTTTTTCTTCAAACTGAGAGGATGAATTCTCCAGTGTTTACATAAACAGAAGCACCTTTGAAGATTTTTCCTACAGACCATATTTAAAATTACCCCTGTTGCTTCCTTTGTTCAAATCAAACTACAGTATCAAAGTCTGTGTGTTTCTCTCTCTTAATTCACATCACGCTAAGTCTGCTTGTCTCATTTGTTTCTTCATACAGATATTTCTCTGGGGCTTAGTTATTTCCCTAAATACCCTTTCTCTTGGTATTCTGATGGTTTTACTCATTTTTTAGCCATTATTAATATATTTTTATTTTTACATTGAAAAGCATATGCATTGTACAGCATCTGTCATGCCTACTTTGAATTCTATCTCAGTGTAATTTGTTTTTCCCTCAGAAACTAATATATTGGAATTAGGTATATAGTTTTCGAGAATAATCAAATTTAGGAGGATAATCTGTTGGTGTAGATTTTTGTTCTTGGAAGTCCACAGATGCAAACTCTTATACTTTATTACATGATCTTTAAAAAAAATCTATTTAGCAAAGCCAGTGTTATATCAAAAGATAAACTGTTTAGAAAAAATAACTTTTAACAGATTTTATGGTAGAATCTAGATACCACAATGATGAGCAAAGTAAAAATGCCTACACAGAAATCCAAGTCAGAGCACTCCTTGCATTATGTGCGGAAGGCATCATTATCTTTTCTCATTTGGACCATGAACACAATTGTTACCACCACCTGTTTATAGTTCAGTAATTGTTAGTCTAATTGATAAGGGAGAACTACCTCCTCCCCATAAGAGGTGAAGTATTCTTTCATGCTGTGAGTACATACGTAATGGAGGTTTGTCATGTAGGGCAGGATCAATTTTTGTTTTGCATTTGATCTATTTTTATTGAGTGAGAATACAAATTTTGTACAGCAGTTATCTGCCATAGGCTACTGTGTAGTTTTTGTAACTAGTAGATTTTTCTTTTAGTGCGATTGCACATTCTGAAAGCATTAATCTTAATGCTAGCTTACCCAGGTAGCAAAGGTAATGCTCAGAAGTATATGCTCATTGTGTACATTTTCCAAACTGAGCAGTTTAGTTGCGAGTCCCAGGGAAAGTGTTGGTCCCTTACTGAATGGGGGAGGCAGCCTAGTGACAGAGGATGCAGAAAAGGCTGAAGCACTCAATGCCTTTTTCATCTCAGTCTTTGCAGGCAAAGCCAGCTCCCAGACTACTACACCAGACAGCACAGCTTGGGGAAAAGGTGAGCATCCAAATGTGGCAAAAGAACAGGTTAGGGACTGTTTGGAAAAGCTGGACATGTACAAGTCCATGGGGCCAGAAGTATCTGAGGGTGCTAAGGGATTTGGCCAGAGTGATTGCAGAGCCACTGGCCATCATCTTTGAAAACCCATGGCGATTGGGAGAGTTTCCAGATGATTTAAAAATGGTAAATATAGTGTCCATCTGTAAGAAAGGGAAAAAGGAGGGTCCAGGGAACTACAGACCAGTTAGCCTCACCTTAGTCCCTGGAAAAATTACGGAGCAGGTCATCAAGGAATCCATTTCTGAGCACTTGGAGGAGAAGAAAGTGATTAGGAAAAGTCAGCATGGATTCACCAAGGGCAAGTTATGCCTGAAAAATTTGATTGCTTTCTGTGATGAGATGACTAGCTTTGTGGACGTGGGGAGACCAGTGGATGTGGTATATCTTGATTAGCAAGGCTTTTGATATGGTCTTTCACAATCTTACAGGCAAGCTAAGGAAGTACAGGTTGGATAAATGGACTGTAAAGTAGATAGGAAGCTGGCTGGATTGTTAGGCTCAGCAGGTAGTGATTAATAGTTTGTCTAGTTGGCAGCCAGTATCAAATGGAGTGACTCGGGGGTCGGTCCTGGGGCTGGTTTTGTTTGATATCTTCATCAGTAACCTAGAAGATAGCATAGAGTGCACCTTCAGCAAATTTGTAGATGACACCAAGCTGGCATGGGGGGAGTGGTAGATACACTGGATGGTAGGATTAGGATTCAGAGAGACCTAGACAAATTGGAGGACTGGCCCAAAAGAAATCTCATGAGGTTCAACAAGGACAAGTGAAAAGTCTTGCACTTAGGACAGAACAGTCCCATGCACCGGTACAGGCTGAGGACTGACTGACTGGGTAGCAGCTCTGCAGAAAAGGACTTGGGCGTTACAGTGGACAATAAGTTGCATATTAGCCAACAGTGTGCTCGTGTTGCCAAGAAGGCTAACAGCATGCTGGGCTGCACTGGTAGGAGTGTTGCCAGCAGGTCAAGGGAATTGATTATTCCCCTCTATTCAGCATTGGAGAGGCCACATCTGGAGTACTGTGTCCAGTTTTGGGTCCCCCACTACAGAAGGGATGTGGACAAGTTGGATAGAGGCCAACGAAAAGTGGGCTGGGGTACAAGACCTATGAGGAAAGGATGAGGGAACTGGGCTTAGAGAAGAGAAGACTGAGAGAGGATTTAATGGTAGCCTTCAACTACCTAAAGGGTGGTTCCAAAGAGAATGGAGCTAGACTGTTCTCAATGGTGGCAGATAAGGTTAGATATTAGGAAAAACTTTCTCATGAGGAGGGTAGTAAAACACTGAAACAGGTTATCCAGAGAGGTTGTGGTATCTCCATCCTTGCAGGTTTTTAAGACCCAAGTAGAGAAAGCTTGATTGAGATGATCTAGTTAGGGATGGTCCTGATTTGAACGGGGGGTTGGACTAAATGACCTTCTGAGGTCTCTTTCAGTCCTAATGTTGTATGATTCTATGAATATCCTGTTTTACAATGTATGGCGAGCTGACTACATGCAGTATTCCCCTCCTTTCAGGTCTTAAAAGAAGTGGAGGACTATGAAAGGAAGGAAAGAAACTATCTCACTCTCCATGGACAGATATCTCACTATCATTTCAAACTTTTTTCTCCCTCTTTAGAGGTTATTAGCCAAAGTGTTGGAGAAAGGGCTTGTGATAGAGGGGAGTTGGTGACTCCTGTTGTCTTTATAGATGTCTTTGAAAGGCAGGGGAAAGTCATTTTGAAAGTCAATTTACTTATCAGTATTAGGTATATTTTTAATTCCTTCCACCTATCTTCTCCTGTACTGTGGATAATTATATCACACATATGGAAACAGTTCACTATTAATTTGGTATTGTTGTACCCTACAGCGGAAGCCAAAATTTTCTGCTTTTGTTGTTAATTGCCAGAATAAATTGATAATCCTGTACAGAGAATCCTAACTTCTTATCAAATTTTTTAAAAGTGGTTTGGGAGAGCAACAGGAAATGGCTACGTAAAATTGATTTTCCAAGTTTAGAAGTGTACACAATGTACTTATATATGCACTTATAATACTTATGCATTGACAGTGTTAAAGTTTAGATTTGGGATGTCTTCTGTGTTGGTTCTTTTGTCAGGGGACTTGCTATTCATACTGTATCCATAAAGGCACAAATACATAGGTACAGTTGCCTTCATAAAGTCAGTGCCAAGGCAGCATAATCCAAAACATTTGACAGGATTTCAGCTTCAATGCTGCTAGGAATAAAATTAATCCAAGGTAGTAGTGTCTTCTCTAGGAGCTCAAATCCATCTTGGAATAGCTTTTTGTTCCCCTTTTGTTGTTTGCAACTAAGCATTTACCATTTTTGGAAAACACTGGCTACAGTCATGTACCAAGAATCTCTCTCCATTTCTCATTTATTTGAAGTTGAGGTTAACAAAGTCAATTCCAAGCAAGTAGTAATATATGAGTAATGATTTTTGTCCTGAAGAACAGCCCAGAACAGTGTGGAAGTGCTGATGCTCTTGCTTTGTAGAAGAGCCCATAATAACAAAGTATTCTTGTCAGAGTATATAATGAAACTATAAATTGTTTTCATGAATGCTACAGTATTTGGTCTTTTACTGAGCACATTTGAAATGTATTTAGTGCCACATCTCATACAAATATCAGATGGTATAAAATATGAAATAGAAATATAGCTCTTTAGCATGGGTGCTATCTCTAATGATAGCCCAAATTGTGAAATGAAAGCAAGTTGCCTAAAATTTTTGAGAAATAAAATTCAGTTACTGAAGGAAGATAGGACACTGAGACATCACACATACAACATCTGCATGTCTTGCACATTCTCCTTAAACTTAAGGGCTCAGGGAAAGGTAATCAGGTAGACTAGTTTATGAAAACAGAGGTGTGTCTGCCTGACATGATGCAGTGCCATGCCAAGACAGCTGAAGTAGCTTGGGTACCAGAAGCAGTTTGGCTGTATTGACATGGGGTGCTTGTACATGTGATGAAAATTGGCCGTTTTTGTAGTTTTTAACTGCATCATGCTTTACACGTGCATTTTTTTTACCATGAGTTTGCTACATTGCAAACTAAACCACATCTGCATGTAGTTTAGTTTGCAACAGCTATGTGTAGTGTTGAAACCTTTGACAGGCGGGCAGGCTTCACTGAAAAAAAAAAGAGGTGAGGGGGCTGATCCTTTTTTTTTTTTTTTTTTTTTTCCCCCCCTGCGGGGCCTGCCTGTGTCTCCTGCAGCAGGGGAACAAGCTGCTGGTGGTCTGAGCTACCCCTGAGCTGAGGAAGGTCCTGGTCTTTCCTTCAGTTAGTGGAAGTGCTCCCTGGGGCCGCCCAGGCTCTGGCTCAGGGAACAGTTGGATCAGGCTGGGTGCTGCCTGTGATCTGGGGCAGCACCTGCCTGCTAGCCACCTGCCCAGGCAGCCCCAGGGGGCATTGCTGACAAGGAGGAAAGATCTGGGGCCCCTTGCAGCTCAGGGCCCACCAGTAGCTCACTCCCCAGGCACTAGAGAGGCAGGCAGGCTCTGCGAAAAGAAAAAAAAATGATCAGGCACCTCCCCACTTTTGTTTGTTTGTTTGTTTGTTTTTGTTTTGTTTTCAGCTGAGCCTGCCCGAGCTAGCCGCTGGTGGGCCATGCAGCTCCTGAGCTGTAGCGGGGGCCTGTTCCTTCCCTCCGTAGCAGTGGCGGTGCCACCTGGGACTGGCCAGGTGGGTTGCTAGCTGCATGGGTGCTGCCCCAGCTTGCAGGCTGCACTTGCCAGATCCAACTCTTCCCTGTGCAGACTCCATTGGTGGGGAGGGGCCTGATCCTTTTTTTTTCCCCCCCCCTGCCCATCTCTCCCATGGCCAGGAGGAATGCTGCCAGTGGGCCCTGAGCTGTGGGGGCCCCGGACCTTTCCTCCACGGTGGCGGTGCCCCCCGGGCAGCACCTGTCCACTAGCAGCCCACCCAGGTGGTCCCAAGGGAGACACGGGCAGGCTCTGCAACCCCCCACTCCAAAAAATGTAGGATTGGATTCCTCACTGTAACAATGATGAAAGCCCCAAAATTGAAACAGTGGGTTTTTAATCATTGCAATTAAAAACCCACTGTTTCAATTTGGGGGACTAAACATCTGTCATGTGTACAAGTGACCATGGTGCTCTGTTCAGGCTGATTAACCCTACTGGAAAGCTGGTTGTGTTGGCATTTGTTGAGTGCTATGTCTAATGCACTGTTATCTTGCTTCAGGTAACTGGGTCAGCTTGAGTTTTTTCTGTACATCACTGTATTTTTTATGCTCCTTGGCCTTCCAAGCAAGGAAGAATGGCATAGCAGGAGCTCAGGAAAGGACCGCCACATCTGGCACTTACATACTTTTCTTTTCATATCCTGTGTAAGCCCCTTGTGACATTTTTGCTTCAAATTGCTGAATGACTTGGCAAAACTTTTATTCTGTCCCCTGTCTTGCTGACTTGCTACGGAAGCTTCTATAAGGTTGTACCTTATAGAAGAATTGCCTTCGATTGTTATTCCTGACTATAAAAGATTTGTTTTTATTTACAGTGAGCTTTCATGAATGTACCAGAGTAGATTGAATCAGAAATAGGTCTAGGGTCTGTCATGCTTATGGTGCATACCATTCTTTTCCTTTCTTTGACTGAGGGTGGTTTTTAAGGTATATATTGTTGAAGCTGGGGTAGTTGCTGATAACATGGTTACATACCAGGCATGGTTCCCAGGGAACTGTGGGGTTAATGAAGAATCAAAGGGCTCTGTCAAAGCTTCTTTCTTACAGTTGTTCCCCAAGGTACTGGGGATTTTACTGGACATTTTTATGGAAGGGATGGGGGGAAAATGACCAGAAATTTCAAACTACAATTTAAAACTATTGGGACTTCTTTTCCTAAATAGCAGGAGAGAATCTGTCCCTAAGATAATCCTAGGATTCTCTATCTTCCCAGTAAACCAAGCATACTAAAGGCTTCAGTTTTCTCTTAGAAAGATGCTCGCGAAGGCAAACTTTTGATCCCAGAACAACTACTCTTAAAATCCCGTTTTTGAATAGATGACAAATGGCTGTTCAGTCCAGCACTGCTTGTAAGCGGCTTGTACAGTAACCTTCTTTTTTCCACCCCCTTCAGTATCTGGTGTGTAAAAGGAAGCTTGAAAGCAAAAAGGAAGCTTTGTTAATCCTTTCCAAAGAGCTGGACACGTGTCAACAGGAAAGAGACCAGTACAAGCTTATGGCCAATCAGTTGCGAGAACGACATCAATCACTGAAGAAGAAATACCGAGAGCTGATTGTACGTTGTTTTATAAACATTCCATAACTTGGTCAAGAATTGAACCTAGATTTGCAAAGAGCATGCCCCTTGTATGAATGCAGTGCTTGCTATATAAATTATTGGTTCCTGGTTTGCAATAGTATTTCTAGATGTATGATCGTGATTCCATTATTATTCATTTATTAACTGATGATGCAGTTGTTATATAATGCACAAACGAAAAGACAGTTTCTGGCCTGAGGAGATTAATATGTCATACTTCTATTTAAAATTTAACCGCAGTATTGTTATGCCACACTAACTATTGTACCCTTATGGAAAACAACGCAGCACCCTTGTATAATGACTTGCTATTTTTAGCAATGTACGTAAATAAATCTTAGTGTTAAAATCTTTGAAAGGGAACCAATTTTAAAAGTTGGATTGAAAATGTTTTATATATGTAAAAAGGTTTAGCAACTAATTTAATTTTGTTACTGGCTTCAGAAAAAGTTGACAGTAAAACGAGTCTCTCTCTTTATAGGACGGGGATCCATCTCTTCCCCCTGAAAAGAGGAAACAGGTAGGCTTATTATCTTTCTTTTCATTTATATGCGTATTTCACAGACATGTTTTGTGAAAATAATTGCAAGAATTCCCTCAGTTACATCAGAGAAGCCAATAAAAAATAATATTTTAAAGCAGACATTTCAGTTCCTTGAAAGATCATACAGTCTTTAAGTAGTGACTCATTTTGTTTTCTGAGCACAGAAAATGAAAATGGTTCTGACTTTTTTTCATTTATGTCCAAAATTGAAATCAGCAGGTATGTAGATCTGGGATTACTTTTTTGTTCTTTGTTTTTTTGTATTAGGGTCCTAATCTAGGTGCACAAAAAAGCACTGTGGCCTTGGTATCTGTTTAACCGTCTGTTCCTCTTGGGGCCTTACCTATATATGAAGCTCTGTGCCTTCTCAGAATTTAAATTAGCATTTAAATTCCAGGTAATGAAATTCTTAAGCCATATCCCCAAAAAGCAAGTCAGGACCCCACAAATATGGGATTTTTTACTTTAAAAAATCCTGATTTTTATTTTTAAATCCAAGCCCTAAAATATGAATTTTTTTTATTTGCCTTTTGTTTTTTCTAGCACTTAGGGGCTACTCATGTCACCTTCCTAGCCTCTTAGTAGTTTATTGTCTAACATATGGTTAAGTAGTTAGAGCACTGCACTAGGAAATCAGAGCAAGTCAGGTTCAAACTCCTGACCTAGAACCTGTGTCTCCTGCTTCCTGGGTGAATTCCCTACAAACTCTAGCAGGAGTAATAGAATCACAGTCTGTGCCTAAGTGCTAAAAATGCCACTTATACAGTTGAGTAGCAGCCGTATGGGTATGTAAAGGGTAATAGAATCTGGCCCCAGTGCCAGCCTTTGTTCTGTTGAATATTTGGTTCTGTCGAATTCTACTACCAGGGGAATAGCAGCTCCACAAGTGTTATGTCAGTGGTGAAGAAAGACCTGGTCTCTATTCTCTCCCCTCCATTAACTTTGCTTAGGTGTCAGGCCTAGAGGGAAGCTGGCTTCTTTATCCTGGAGACCTGTTCTTGTAGAGAACTGGGAGGAAATCTCACACTTTGTCTTTGGAGGAGGAAGTAGGAAGTTAATAGTGCCTAACTGGGTATAGGAGTTGACTAGTCACCTCTTAGGTTTTGGGCTAGGGATGATGCTAGCAGGAGGCTGCACTTTGGTGTGGTGTTGGGTCTGATCCCTTCAGAAATCAATACTGTCTGAATACAGGGCCAGGACGTAGGCCCAAGGGGCAAGCCAGGGTACTACTACAGCCATGCTGAAGGTATAGCTGAGATCCAGAAACAAAAGCCTATGACCATAGCAGTGGACGCTACGGTGCAGTAGAGGGTGATATGCATGATTTGGAGGTTACACCATTTCTGATATCACAATTACTGCAGGAATTGTGCTTTTCTGGGAGGAAGGGACTGTGACAGAGCGGGTATTTGGATGCTTAGCCAGAAGAGAGAATTGTACCTTAATTATCTCTCTATATGCAGAAATATGAGGAAGGGAGCATTGTATTATTCCTTCTACCATTGTCATGCTTATCTGAGTGACTTTCCATAGGTCCCCGAATGGCCTTTTCACAGGTTTTGTTCCATCCTGTAGAAAATAATCAGTAGTGTATCAAAGTACAAAGAGGCCCTCCAACCACAGGCATGTGTCTTGGGAATTGAGGGACTATTCAGTGAACTTGGGTGCTTTGCACACAATTAATGAATCAGAGCTTTCACTTTGCTGTCCTTCCCTGGCTGGCACTTGGTTCTTGTCATTTTGCTAGAATGTGGGTGTCAAAGCCTTGTAATTAAAATTGGCCATGGCATAAGACCACAGTTGCTGCTTCAGGCACTGTAAGGATGCTAATATAATTCACTGATCTTGAATTCAGTCATTAAAAAGAAAAAAATTAGCATCAACCCCCAGCACGGGCTATATTGAACTGTTGACTTTTAGGCAACTTTTGTTTATCTGAACATGGAACAAGCCCATGTAGACTTGTGTTCTCCTGCTGCTATAATCGAAGAGTGTTCTCTGAAAAGTCATGCATGAGAAATAGCTGAGATTATGAGGAAGTGATGCAGCTGAATATATACACAAATATCCCTCACCCCAACAACTCTGGCTTAGTCCCTAAAACAAGGATGCACAACATACAGCCCATGTATATATCCTCCCAGGATAATATCACTGTGCCTGCAAGTTGGCCTGGCTGTGGATACATTTAGGTGGCTTTCTGCTAGAAAATGCAAATTATAAGTGGGCCTCAATACAAGGCAGTTTGAGTCTGCATTTGCAATCTATGACAGTTAGGTAAGACTATTCCAACTCTTACAAATGCTTAACAGTCAACAGAATGATCTAGTGAGAAGACTTCTGTGAGAAACCTACACGCTAACTTAACACTTGTCTACAATAAATGATAGAAGTACACTCTTACCTACACTTAAAGGGGGTTTCTTATAGGTTGCTCCCCAAGGGATATGTGACACTTGAGGTTATGCTTTAATCATCTGTTAGTACACTCTTTATACCATCAGTCTCCCAAGAATTGTGCCTATAGCATAAGGCATATGCTTAAACACCCTGGTGGAGTTTAACAGGACCTTTCCAAAGATCAGTTTTATGCTTTTATTATGGGAATTAATTCTTTATGAAAGGATAAATAATAATAAGTTATTAATATCTTTCCACTGCTATTGTAAATATATTTATGGTCCAGTGTTTTCTCTGATACACAGGAAAAAAAGAAGTCCCCAGTCTTTTTGTGCGCTTCCCATTTCTGGCTGGTTTTTCACTCAGTTTGTGACCAAACCAATTTCCGCTCCCTTTTTTTGTTTATAAACATGAAGACCCTGACCCTGCATTGAGCTCAGCTTGACTCATATACAAATCACCTTCTGAATGGGCTCAACATTTGAAATAGTGAAAAATTGCTCTCCGTACAACTTTTACATCAGAAAGTAAGTTAAAAGTGACTAAAAGGCCCTGTCTACACATTACACTTAAGGCATGATTAATCAGTTAATCATGCCTTACGTTGTGACCTAGCTACACGTTCAGTAAATTAATGGCATGATAAAACAAGCAACAAGCCACCGATTCATAGATTCATAGATGTAGGGTCGGAAGGGACCTTGTAGATCTTCTAGTCCGACCGCCTGCCCTGGGCAGGAGGGAAAACTGGGCTCAAATGACCCCAGCCAGGTAAACGTCGAGCCTCCTCTTAAAGACCCCCAGGGTAGGAGCCATCACCACTTCCTTTGGAAGTTGGTTCCAGATCCTAGCCACCCTGACTGTGAAGTAGTGCCTTCTAATGTCTAGTCTAAACCTACTCTCTAGCAACTTATGGTCCTTATTCCTTGTTACTCCGGGAGGCGCTTGGGGGAACAAGGTCTCTCCCAAACCCTGCTGGTCCCTCCTAGTAAGTTTATAGATGGCCACCAGGTCCCCCCTTAGCCTTCTCTTGCAAAGGCTGAACAGGTTAAGGTCCCGTAGCCTCTCCTCATAGGATCTGCCCTGCTGTCCCCGGATCATGCGAGTGGCCCTCCTTTGGACCCTCTCAATGCTGTCCACATCCCTCCTGAAGTGTGGCGCCCAGAACTGGATGCAGTACTCCAGCTGCGGCCTGACCAGTGTCACATAGAGGGGGAGGATCACCTCCTTGGCCCTGCTTGTGATGCATCTGTGCATTCAGGACAAGGTACAGTTAGCCCTACTGACCGTGTTCTCTCATTGTTGGCCCATGTTCATCTTGGAGTCAATAATGACTCCAAGATCTCTTTCTGCCACAGTCAACTGTCTGTGACAGTTGTGGAATTCAACAGAATGTGTGGAATAATTATGTGGCTCTTCTTATCACACCATTAATTGAATATGTGGCCAAGTGCTCCCCTATGGCTTCAAGCCTCATAAACTGAGGGGCTCCCAGCCACAGAGGTCCACCACCCACATCTGATAAGCCTCGCAGCGGGGCCAGTGTTCCATGTGATGCCCTGGCTGGGAGCCTCGTTTGCTGATGAGGCTTCTAGCTAGGGTCAGTGTTTCACGCTCTAACCCTGCTGTGAGCCTCCTCAGCTGCAGGGGAGGAGGGAGAGGGGAGTCTGGGATTGCATTCTGTTGTATCATAATTCCAGGCTGCCCCTGCGCCAGCAGTAAGGTGCGATAGGATCTGATTATTGATTTTCATAGATTTCATAGACATTAGGGCTGGAAGGGACCTTGGAAGATCATCGAGTCCAGCCCCCTGTCCAAAGGGCAGGAAGTCAGCTGGGGTCATAGGGTCCCAGCAAGATAAGCATCCAGTTTGCTCTGGAAGGTGTTCAGTGTAGGCGCTTGAACCACCTCCGGTAGCAGGCTGTTCCAGACCTTGGGGGCTTGGACAGTAAAGAAATTCTTCCTTATGTCCAGCCTGAAATGGTCTTGCAGTAGTTTATGACCATTCGACCTAGTCGTCATCCCTTGGGGCGCTCTGGTGAACAAACGTTCCCCCAGATACTGGTGGTCACCCCTGATAAACTTATAGGTGGCCATCAGATCACCCCTGAGCCTGCGCTTTTCCAGGCTAAAGAGCCCCAGGGCTCTCAGCCTGTCATCGTAGGGTCTGCTTCCCTGACCTCTGATCATGCGTGTGGCTCTTCTTTGGACTCTCTCAAGCTTCTCCACATCCTTTTTGAATTGTGGAGCCCAAAACTGGACGCAGTACTCCAGCTGTGGCCTCACTAAGGCCGAGTACAAGGGGAGAATGATGTCCCGGGATTTGCTTGAGAAGCATCTATGGATGCAAGCCAGCGTTTTGGTCGCTTTACTAACCGCAGCATCGCACTGCAGGCTCATGTTCATCTTGTGGTCAATCATCACCCCCAAGTCTCTTTTTTCCATAGTACTAGCCAACATAGCACTGCTGAGCCTATAAGGATGCTGCGGGTTTTTCTTTCCAAGGTGGAGAACCTTGCATTTATCGGCGTTGAACACCATCAGA